AAATTGAATGCAGCGGTCAAGGAAAAGCGACCAGAATTGGTCAATCGTAAAGCTGTCATTTTCCAGCAGGACAATGCTAGGCCGCACACGTCTTTGTCCACTCGGCAAAAATTGATGGATATTGGTTGGGAATCGATGTTACACCCACCATATAGCCCTGATCTCGCGCCATCGGATTACCACTTATTTCGATCCCTGGACAACTCCCTTCGTGGTAAAACTTTTAACGACGATGACGCTGTAAAATCTCACTTAACTCTGTTTTTGGCCGAAAAGGATCAGACTTTCTACGAGCGTGGAATTTTCAAGTTGTCGGAGAGACGGCAAAAGGCCATCGAACAAAATGGAAAATACATTACAGATTAAACTTCGTTCTAAATAAAAACAAATTTTTTATTTCATTGAACAAATCGGCAATTACTTAGTTGCCAACCCAATACCAAGGAGAACATCGAGGTAGAACCTTGATAAGGTGATCTGACCGGTGAATATGTAAGCTGGATGTTTGTCCAAATGATTTTCGTCTAATTCCCCGGATAATATTATCGTAAGCGGACTGTTTTATTTTAGGTTTGTATATTTTTTATTCACGATTGACAGTTGTAAATCTTTTTATAGATGAAATATGTATAATACTTTGCGGAAGGATCAGACCTTCTACGAGCGTGGAATTTTCAAGTTGTCGGAGAGACGGCAAAAGGTCATCGAACAAAAAATGGAAAATACATTACAGATTAAACTTCGTTCTAAATAAAAACAAATTTTTTATTTCATTGAACAAATCGGTAATTACTTACTTGCCAACCCAATAATTTACGTAATTTGAAAAATAAAGTACAATTATCGATGACTTGCAAATCGAAAAAGCCTAACAGGAATATCCAGAGCCGGTATGACCCAAACTGTGCAGAACTGGACAGATTTACAGGGCGTAATGTTCCGTGACGCGAATTAATTGATTACGTCGAGCGCAGTTTATAATTATCCCATTGAAATGAGAAAGTGGGTTGGAGCAATTCCGATCGGATCACCGATCACTCCGATCCCGTGCCAGCGAAACCTTCGTCATTCATAATGAATCTCGAACTTGACCCAAGACGACGGTCATTAGTGATAACGACGGGGGTAGTACGCCGCTTTGATTAGACAAGCGTGCGTAACACGAGCGAACACGCTCGTCTGTGATTAAGTACGTACGGCGTGATAACACGCGTACCTCACGTTCGAATGCACGCGATCCCGTTCGCAGACGCTTTCAACTTCACCGTGCGCGTGCGCGTCCGCGCATTCGCTTCGCAATTATTCCAATCGACGATAAATTCGTTCTATAGCCTGTTCCACAAACGTTATCGCAACGAATCATTTCATTTACGGATGAGCACGCCACGCGGAATGAAAGTTTTCTATGGAAAGACGCACATCATTGCTGGACCGCGGATCTTCGTGCATTTGTGGTGGCGAGAAATGCAAGAGAATTTATTATTTGTTTGGTATTGTTGTAAGGAATTTGTTGTCATTCGATAGAAAATGTATACGTCTATAAAATATAGAAGACTCCTGCCAGCAATATGAAAATTCTTTGCAATATAAACAGTCGTACTTTTAGATAATACGTTCGCTTGCACTTTCTGTCACAACAATATACAGATACAAATGTATATACGATGCATTTATGATATTTTATTTATGGTATTAACATATTATTTTATTACCATATATAGTATGTAGTATTACCATATTATTATATTTATTTTATATTATTATATATATAGTATTTCCATATTATTTTATTTATAGTATTTTATTGTGGTATACATTTAAGGCATATGTAAGTTTTTTAAATGCAAGTAAACGCATATATTAAGAAAAATTAAATGTATGTACTATTATTCTACATTCACAAGAGATTATGCGAATCAAATATTTCTTTCTTTAAATTTTTACAAGGAATTTGCTCGACAAATCCGCAGTCCAATAGTAAGCAATGAAGGTGAGAATTTGCATGAAGAGAATTGGAAGCTAATGATCATAAATAAAAATTGTTGCAATAAGAAAATTCAAGGAAAAATGTTTAACTACAGGAAACGTTGCTCTATTGCACGTAATTTCTGAAGAATGTCGGTGACCAGCAATATGTCTGATTATTTTACTGTTATTGAACGAACAGGGAATCGATCAATTAAGTTTCTATTTCACCTACTTCTTCGTTCATCGTATTCTTCGGTGTGTTTGATTATTAGCTCTCCTCATTAAAATAGCTTTAAAAAACTTTTATGAACACTGGAAGATGTTAATCGTTTCATGTCAGTGCATTAAGATTTACTACGATCTTTGCTATTATCTTCTTCGATCGGAAAAGTAGAAGTTATATAGCTACGTAATTTCTGAAGAATGTCGGTGACTTGCAATATGTCTGATTATTTTGCTGTTTTTTTTATTGAACGAACAGGGAATCGATCAATTAAGTTTCTATTTCACCTACTTCTTCGTTCATCGTATTCTTCGGTGTGTTTGATTATTAGCTCTCCTCATTAAAATAGCTTTAAAAAACTTTTATGAACACTGGAAGATGTTAATCGTTTCATGTCAGTGCATTAAGATTTACTACGATCTTTGCTATTATCTTCTTCGATCGGAAAAGTAGAAGTTATATAGCTACTAAATGCTAATCCTCAACTTCTAAGCAAAATGACGATCCTCGACTTCTTTTATTTCCATCAATTCTGTAGTTTTTCCTATTCAATTTACTAATAAACGCACGAAATCCTACGAGCTTCCGCATTTTACCGTAACCCATTCGGAGGTAATTAACCAACGGAAAAAGTTCTGCCAGCGGATTTCAGTGTTGCACAGCAACATCTCGAATTCTGCGTCGAACGTTCGACGGGCATGAGTGGTTTTGAAAATATTGGTTGCGTCATTCGCGCCGGCGATCCTCCGCGCGCGTAGTATTTCGAGCAGCGTATTATTTCAGCTAGCCGTAACGGAAACGGAATTCGCGGGGAATCAAGTTGTTCCACGGAACACCGAGTTTCCCCTGGGCACTCGTGGACATGCATGCATGTATGCACGTATGCATGCACGTATGCATGCACGTATGCACGTATGTACGTATGTATTCGGCAGAAGAGGCTCGCGAAACCTACGCAGAGCCCGTAACCGCTCGCAAATTAGTCAAACGCTCGAACTCCCGGAGATTGTTCGTTTCAATTTTGCCGGGATTATCGGAGACCGTAGCGATATCTCTATCGGTCTCGAGATCGTGTGCCCGCGATTCGGCGCTTTCGACGAGAACAAAATCGATGCACCACTTACCAATTTTGTTAATGCAACCGATGCAACGAAAAGACGCAAACCGGTTGAATCCTGGCAAATAGCGAACGAATTTGTTCGGGCAACGATTTGCGGACACTGAAAGATCGAACGATCTATCTTCGATCGAGACAAAAGAGCGGGGGGAGGAAAGACCACGGGGATCGACGACACTGACAAATTCGATTCGACACCGAAATCCTCGCCGGTCACTGGAGAAACTGGCGTTCCTCTCGTACAGTCTTCCCGAAATACATACATCGAAAGGAACACCAACCGGTCGATCGATCGATCACTTTATCACTGTTCCGCCTACGAAACCCGACCACCGTCCTGTACCGCGCGATATTAGGCCGTCGTGAATACTGCATCAATCACTCTTCTCCCTCTCGACTATTTTTACCCGCACTGCTTTCATTTCGGACGATTTCCAATGGAACGACATCGCGCCAATTACGATCTCCGAGTTTCCGCAGTCCCGCATCAGCGCGTTTTACCAGCGCACGTCCACGACCGCGTCCCACACAAGTGTCCGTTCCTATTTACTTCGCTCATCTTACACGGTTCCCGATCGCCGAAGCTTCTCCCGAAGCCGTTCCCATATTCCCGCGTGACCAGATCCTCGCGCAACTTCCGAAATCTCGGCGGCTTCGACAGCGATCTTCTCAGGCCGAACTTCTCCCAATCGAGCCTCCGATCGCGCTCGATTCGCCGCCCCCGTCATCTCCGGCAATATTTCCCAGCTTTCCTCCCATCTGAACTCAGATCAATCTCTCTCCAGTTCCCTCCGCTTCCGGCCACTTCGGAGACTGCCTGCCTGCCTCTGGCCACCACCTTCTTTAAATTTCAATCCTCGACTTTCGACGAACTTCCGTCCCGATCATGGTCTTCGACTTTTTTAATCGTCGACCAGAGAGTTCTTCGAGGGTCCCTCGAGAGTTCCTCGATGCTTCTTCGGCGAACTTCTTCGGGGTCCTCGCGATCGAGCTCCTGTTCGTTCGAGGTGCCGTTTGGGGAGAAACGAGGGCCGGAGGAAAGGGGACACGATGCGGCAACGGGAGAGCACAGGTGAGAGGAAAAAAAAGAAGCGAGACGCGGTGCGTGGACGGTCGCAGTCGCAGCGCAGAAGAGGAGGATGGGCCGCGTGTTCTCGAAATACTCGAAAACCTCGAGTATTTCGACGCGGCGGACAGGTGGAGGAGAACTAAGCGGCGCGCGGTCCCCGCGGATGCTGTTCGAGCGATAGCAGAGCGCCGGCGGAGAGGTCGAACCAGAACCGGCGTCCACGCCCCCCTCTCTCTCTCTCTCTCTCTCTCTCTCTCTCTCTCTCTCTCTCTCACTTTCTCTCTCTCTCCCTCTCTCTCTCTCCATCTCTATCGCCTAGCTCTTTCTCCCTGAAGTATCTCTCTCTCCCGTGGCGGCATCGCCGCAGCCTGGATTTTTCCTCCGGTTTATTTATAAGCGCATTAATATTCCCGCTTTCGGACCGCTCAATGGCATTTCCGTGGCGGCCGCTGCGATCCCTATTCTTGTAAGATCAAGTAGCATGTGTTCGATAAAGGGGAGCAGCAGGATGATGGCCACGGTGGTCTGGCTAGCGGATGCGGTGGTCGAGAACCAGATTTTTCGGCTCTCCTCTGACAACGTTGAAACACAACCAGCGGTTGGAAACAATTGTGATTCGGTCTCGGTTCGTCGAAACCGAAACGCGTGAAATCGGGAAACCGATTCGTCATAACTAGATAACGCGGATTTTATGCATTTATAAAAACAATAAATAACTAGACGAAATACCAAAGTGTGAGCACGCGTCGTTCACATGGTTTCAGTTTTTTTTTATTATGTCGGCAATAAGCTGGTTTTTGTTCGAAAGTGTTCGCTCCATTTCGTTTTATAATTTGCTGTAATATTGTATGATTTGAGCAGATTTTTATACGTAATTTTGCAACCAATTTGGAACAGTCGAGAAATATTACAGTTGTTCATACGTGCCGTATCGTTCACATCATTATTCGGAATATAACGTGAAAGCAGTGAAATGAGTAACTATCAATACGAAAGTCGATAATCGTATCCTTCGGTGTGTTTGGTTATTAGCTCTCCTAATTAAAATAGCTTTAAAATACTTTTATGAACACTGGAAGATGTTAATCGTCTCATGTCAGTGCATTAAGATTTACTACGATCTTTACTGTTATCTTCTGCGATCGGAAAAGTAGAAGTTATATAGCTACGTAATTCCTGAAGAATGTCGGTGACGTGCAATATGTCTGATTATTTTGCCGTTTTATTGAACGAACAGGGAATCGATCATTTAAATTTCTATTTCACCTACTTCTTCGTTCATCGTATTCTTCGGTGTGTTTGATTATTAGCTCTCCTCATTAAAATAGCTTTAAAAAACTTTTATGAACACTGGAAGATGTTAATCGTTTCATGTCAGTGCATTAAGATTTACTACGATCTTTGCTATTATCTTCTTCGATCGGAAAAGTAGAAGTTATATAGCTACTAAATGCTAATCCTCAACTTCTAAGCAAAATGACGATCCTCGACTTCTTTTATTTCCATCAATTCTGTAGTTTTTCCTATTCAATTTACTAATAAACGCACGAAATCCTACGAGCTTCCGCATTTTACCGTAACCCATTCGGAGGTAATTAACCAACGGAAAAAGTTCTGCCAGCAGACTTCAGTGATGCACAGCAACATCTCGGATTCTGCGTCGATAATATCTAATCTGGCTCGATATAGAGAGCGCGAAAGATTAATTTAACTAGGGTAATCTGCTCAGTGATGGAACTCTCGAGCTGTGACGAACCGAGCGGTAGAGTTTATCCCAATGATAGAGCAAGTTGGTTTTTTTTTCATGAACAAAATAGTAACAGAAGGGTGTGAGGAAACAAGATTGAAAGCAGTTGACAGCTAATCGAAAATTGATGGAATCATTTTCTCTCTGTTTCCTGTAAATATGACATGATTCCGGCGAAATATTACTAATGTAGGGAGATAATGCTATGTCATGAAGGAAGAACGGTGCAATCTACGTTCAATATGGACTTATATTTCAAACAGATCTACCTAAATCATGTATTCTAGAAATCCGTGTCTATCTAATCGATGCTGTTGTCCGATCGTACATATTATTGAACAGATTCTTTAAAGCGATTGTATGTGTCATCAAAAATGTACAAAATATGTTTTACTAATATGTTATATTACTATATATATATTACTATTATAATACATGTTTAATAATTTCGTCGGATGTGATTGTATTTTAAAACACGAGATCCCTCTATCATCTAAAAAGAATTCAAGTCACTTAATCCAGTTTTTAAAAAATTACCGCGTTTTAAAAATCACACAGTGCACGATCTCATAGGTTTAAGATTTTAACAGATCTGTATTCTCTTTTATAAAACAGTGAATGTTATATTACTATATGTATATTACTATTATAATACATGTTTAATAATTTCGTCGGATGTGATTGTATTTTAAAACACGAGATCCCTCTATCATCTAAAAAGAATTCCATTCACTTAGTCCAGTTTTGTAAAAGCTACCGCGTTTTAAAAATCACACAGTGCACGATCTCATAGATTTAAGAAACAAATGTGCATAAAACAGTGAAGGTAGATATATTCGCGTTAGCATAGTTCTGCATGAGAAGCTGTTAACGATGATTTTGTTAAATAATACTATTATATTTTGTTAAATAACGATGGTTTTAACAGACCTGTATTCTCTTTTATAAAACAGTGAATAAAACGTTGCGTGTATAAAACAGTGTATAAAACTCGCGTATAAAACAGTGAAGGTAGATAAATTCGCGTTAGCATAGTTCCGCATGAGAAGCTGTTAACGAGTGAAATAACGATGATTTTAACAGACCTGTATTCTCTTTTCCCTTGAAAAAAAAATTATTACTTCTAGTCGTCGCAACGGTGAAGAATAAAAGGCCAGGGGGTTTGGTCCGCGATTGGTTCGACCAATTCGCGATCGAGAAAATCATATCTCGGCAAGAGCAAGAGAAGTTCTCCCGGGCCTTTGAGAAACGTGTTTCGCAGCGGGTGCGTCGAGTAAGTAGGTATACTCGTCAGTGACATTTGATGCCAGGCGAGTAGTACGTCTTCTTTCTCTGCGCCTCCGTTCCCCTGTTACGTTCCGTGTTGTAACAAGAACGGTCGAGAGCTCAAAGTACCCGGGCACAACAAGCTGAGCTTTCAGAACGCGGAAAGCGACGCCTGAAATTCGTTCCTCGCGTTCCGCCGCTCCCATTTGAAGTATCCTTCAGCGGGACGAGCGCCGGTAATTCGGTCGAGGGATTCTTCCGGCGTACTTGTGTGTCTTACTCGTTCTTGCGCGTCGCAATCGCGACGTGACTCGGTACACACACGCTGCAATGAATCCGCTGTTTTGTCACTTTTTCTGCGTTCTCTTTCATTCTTCGAACAACGTTCGGCAGCCATTAACCCTTTTAGTGCCGGTCGACGATATATATATCGTTGCGCACGCGTTGGCGTATAATATAATATATAAAAATTATGATAAATTATATATAATATTATATATATATTATTATATGATATAATAATATTATATATTATATATATATTAATTATATATATTATATAATATATAATATATTTCAGATAACAACTATGACTTAGCAGTAGGCTCTCCTTACCAGCATCACATGTGTGTGACGTTCAATCTCTTGAACTTGTGCAGGTTATTTTCAAATTAAACGTCGAAGATCTCAGGAAGTTTAAAAATTCGTTAACTCAACAAGTCTTTTAAGCGTTTGCTAAATTTGTTCAGTTTTGAAGGAAATTGCTAAATAAGATACCATCACCTAATAATTAATAATATTATTATTATTATTATATTATTATTATTATAATTTATTATTATTATTATTATTATTATTATTAGTAGTAGTAGTAGTANGACGCAGTTTCTTTAATTGCGAGCGACGACTGCACATTTCTACAGGGCGTTTTAATCCAGAAACGTCGCGTGCAGGGTGGTGTCGGCGCTAAGTATGATATTAAAATTTCTTCGTACGCTGACAGCGCCAGTTTAGCCACTTTAGCCGCGTCCCTTCACGAGCACTTGCGCGAGGCTTCACAGCTGATTAGAGTCGTCCTTTGGTACTCAAGCTGTTAAGCTGTGGGCGTACAGCTGGCGCACGTTTGCAACGAATAACTTTGCCTTTCTTGTCCTGTTAACTCGTTGAACGCCGACTATGAACCGCAAAAATGAGGTGTTTAGGCAATTAATATATAAAATAATAAATACATTATTTATTAGTATTAGTATTAGTAGTAGTAGAGAGAGAGAGAGAGAGAGAGAGAGAGAGAGAGAGAGAGAGAGAGAGTAGTAGTAGTAGTAGTAGTAGTATTGCATATCTTTATGCAAGATAAAAATGTTTGGAATCATTGTTACGAAATAGAAATTGTACAAAAATTATTCGATCAACGGAAGAAAAGTCCCTTTATTACAATAATATAACAACATGTCGCTCAAGTATCATATGAAAAAGGAAGAAGAAAAGAAGTGATACAATAAAACATAAAATAGAAGAGAAGTTTCAAATTCTGTTATAAATTTTGACCTCATTGCAGCTAACAGTAACTGCTTTAAGTGCAGCAGGATACTGTTCCAATGATATTTTGTACAATGCAGCAACTGTTCAACTCTTAATTGGTCTCTTCAGTTAATTAACACGGACACTAATGCACGAAGTAAAAGGCAACATAGAATAGATGCAGGATATTTTAAAAATAAAGAAAGTGAAAATATTTTAATAAATAAACTAAAGAACTTTGTCTTACTCTTAATGATCCTCTACACGTTTTCGAAGCTTAGACATTCAACTTGGAAACATCCCGTGTATAAAACAACGAGATGCACGGCTGACGCGAGACATTTGAGACGTGAGAACTTTTCATTTTAGTTTCGAAAGTAACAGTTTAATTTTAGGCGAAACTCTATCGAACGAACTTGCACACTTGACGAAAGGACAAGAGACTTCCGGCAAGTAAATCTCGCGTGCGAGGCTTAATTCATTCTGAGAATCGTATATTTTTAGCGGGAACGTGTTTTGACTTGAAAGCCAAAATCACTTCGTGGCATGAACAACGACGTTTGTTTATCGAACGACAAATTATACAACCGCGAACTTCTTTGATGTACAACTTGGCCGCCGCGTGACCGTAAAGTGTACGCCTTCGCGAAGCCTA